CTTCATTTCATTTTCCCTCCAGCTGTCGTTTCAGTTGTCTTTAATCTTAATTCCTTTATTTTTTTCTTTTACATTTTTACTAATCTGCCCTTTCAGTATTTTTATTGCTAGTTTTATTAGTTTTACTAGTTTTTGTACTCGGATACCTCCATCTCATGCCTGTGGCTTCGCTCTAACTTTAAATAATTCACTTTAAAGCGTCTAACTTCTGACCAACACGTCTGTTGTAACATCATGCATCCCCTCCGACACCTGTGCAGGTGACCTATCAGTGAGACGGTGTGACATGAACACACTGCTGACAGGCTTCACTTTCAAATACTATATTTATTTTTCTCTTCTGGGATGAACAGTCTGATATATGAATCTACAGTAAGGCTTAACATTACATTTTCAGCATAATATTTCTCTTTTCATCTAAAAACCAAAACATACAAAAAGAACTTTAGCACCATATGTTATTAATAATATTCATATTGTTCCCAAAAATAGGGCGTAGGTACAATACTGGACATCAGTTTTGCTTTTTTAAAGAACGGGGATTCCATGAAACAATTTACTTACATTTTATATTGAACAACAACAAAGAAATCATTCCTTATAGGTCGTATGAGTCCACGTTCATAAAGACGCCACGTTGTCGCAGCAGATCTGGTTTCTAACATTGTGCCACCTTCTGAACAGCATCCTGATAGATCTGTGAAATACACCAACAAGCTAACACAATCTATAAACTGACTGAATAGAAACAAAGCAATATTTCCCAACACCTTTGATAACAATTCCAAAAATCAGCAGCAATAATATGACAACCATAGTCGCTTGATTGGAATATCAGCTCCATTGTTCAACAAAATGTTACAGCCAATTCTACAAGAACAACAAAAATAGATACACACAGATTAAGGACATATAGATGACAGGAATTTACAACACAGCAATCACGTTCTATATATATTTTTACCCAAATTCCAGTAGCAGAAGTACTTTTGTGCTCCTGTGCTAAAAAGATGCATTTTGTCATCTGCCAGTTTCATTCTCTCAGAGAAACAGAAATCCTAGTGCAGACTGAATAAAAACAGAAGCAGTGTGCAGAAACCGTCGAGCTGTAGCTGTTGTTTCTGTGCAGGTTGGAAAATTAAAATGGCACCATAGAGAGTTGAGTTCTGCTGTAAACTGTGTGGATTTGAGGTGCTGCTGCTGCAGAGCGTTGGGCGGCTGCAGGTTCTCAGTGGACCGGAAGGCTGAGCTCTCTGAAGGGTGGACCGTGCAGTCCACAGTGGTAGCACCTTTACATGTATTTGTTCAGCACCAGGTCGTTAACACAAAGAAAAGAAGAAAAACGCACCGTTTTCTCATCCGACCACGTCGCCTCAGTGCTGCAACACGTGGTCATGACACGAAGGTAGAGACGGAAACCAGGTCAAACACTACGGAGGCCTGCTGCTACACATTAATGCAGAAATCAGAGGGCTGTGCAGAGCACTGGCATGCTGAATGTGGGGTTCTAAAGGCATGCTGGGAGGAGAACCAGTGATCGGGCCTGTTAGTCAGCTGACGTCTGTCATCAGCTGCAGACTGAGGATGTTCCCACGAGACACAAAGACACCGGAAGTTACATCTCGGCACCACAAATCATTCAGAATCGCAAGACAGAAGAAGAAGAAGATGTGAAGGCAGAGACAGAAGAACAAAACAATCAGATCTTCAGTGTCGTGGCTGGTTTCTGTTAGTGTTCTCCTTAGAACAGTCAAATCTACGAATGTTCAATCAGCTGGATCTGCTCTCTCAGAACAATAAAGGTTCCTCCAACAAGGCTTCCTGATTCTTCAAAGCACAAAGAGGAGAACCTCCCATGTAGAGGGTGGTTCTGTAAAAGTTCTTCATGTTTATTGGTGTTCTTTGGTTGGTTTCATTGTTTTATTCTGGATGAGTCACTTAAACACCAGAAAACAGAGAAACGTTCACCACAGATCCCAGACTGGTGTCTGAGAACATGTTGAACAGAACCCAAGGATTACATGTGTTCTAACTGAAGGAACCCAGAAATGCTGAAAATTCTCATGTTTGACTTTTTCCTTACAAACTATTTAAATGATTATCAGATCCTGCTGTCAAAGCAGAAGCAGGTGGATCCACAAAGAACTACCTGAAAAATGGTTCCTTAAAGAACCTGTTTTCGTTAACGGTCTTTGGCATGCCAGTGATGGTGCCTAAAGGAACCATTTATTGATGGTTCTTTGAGGCACAGTTGGGGGTTCTTTGAAAAACCGTTTGAAGACGTTTGAAGAACGTCTTGCTGAAAGGTTCTTTGTGTGACTAAAAGTCGTTCTTCTGGTGCATCACTGGGAAGAACCATTTTTCTGTTTTAGTTCAAACCTTTATGGTTCTGAGTGTAGATCAGCTCACTCTAATACAGATGAGGAACTCTGTGTTCCACTACAGAACATGTTCAGTATTGCCTTTTGTGTTCTCCTGCATCTCTGACAGAACCAGGTCTGACCCGGTTCTGAAACAGTGTCGTCCTGCAGATGCCACCTCTGATGAAGCTGTTAGACTGAACAGTCGACTGACAGAACGGAGAACACGTGTTGTTCTGGTTCTGCGACGCAGACGGGGAGGTTCTGGTCCTGTGAGCGTGCTGGCACGTGAAACGAGGAAAGAAAGACGTTGGCGTTGTTGTTTGCGGACCTGGCTGCCATGGCTGGATCGAAGCACCCGAAGTAACAAGGCACAACAAGGACCGAGGAGAACAGGGTTCAGACACTCTTGCTGTGTGTTGGTTCTATCAGGCGTCGCAGCGGACCGGACAGGAGGGTTCTGTGTTGTTCATGGTAGAAAGTGTGGCAGCCCGAGTTCTGCGCTGCACAGCGTAGAAGCTGCTTAGCTCTTGAGACCCGTGTAATTTAAAGAAAACAAGAAAAATATATAAAACCCACTTTCATCTGGCTCCTAGCTAATCACTGTTCAGTTAGAGAATGTAAAATGGTGACTGTTCTGTAGAAATACGTAAAATAGACTGCATGTTTCATAAAAATCCAGACTTGTACATATAGACTCTTTGTAGACTTTTAAAATCAATTTGTTTAATTAACTGTAGTTACCACTATTCTAATGACACAGTTAGGCAAGCATAAATACTGGACATTAAGCACCACTAGATGAAATGCAGCCCAGATGTAGCATGTTGTGTGTGAAGCAGTGTGTCCCACACACACGTGGATGGATCACAGTGTATTTGCACCTGATTGGACGAGTGTCCGTGTCTGGAAAGGATGCACTGTACGCCAGGCAGCCAACTACCACAAAAAACTGCCTCCAGCCGCGTAACATGAAGAATCACTCAATGTGCAAACCATAATTTAGTGGTGCTTCCCGGCCGAGGGGATGCTGTGTTCAGGAAAAAATGGAGACCCTTGAGGACATGCGTGGGGATGAGGACTGCATTGAGACACCCCTGAGTCAGCTGGTTCAGTGGTCTGGTTGTTGGTCCTGAGGAACCCTTTACTGGCTGTTTTTTCGTATTATTCACTTCACTCACCGACTAACTACTAACATGGCTGTTCATTCACTACAACATAGAGGATCCGCTACTATGGTCAACGATGAACAGGTTTGCATACACATGTATCTACACAGACGGCGTGTTGGATGTTTGCTAGCTGACCCAACAGTTCTCAATCGTCAGGGCTGAACGTCGGGTGGCAGACCCTGGATGGTGGAGCTGTGGCAGTGTACCTCATTGCATGTTCTCATGTCAGGATCTCCGTTTGTTCAGCCTCAACCCCGTTGTTCAGTTACCAGAGAGTGTGTTTGGCGGAGTGTACCGAGGCCCGGCACCGTGGAGACGGGAAGAGGGCGGAGCAGCAACCGGGGATGGAGCCGAACATTCGGCGAGAGGGCAGGACCGCGAGAAAGGGCCGAGGACGAACCACGACCACAAACAGAGTCCAGCGGACTCCGGTTCAGTCCCTTTAGCACGATCTGCCCTCGTGTTCTTTTCCACCCCTGGCAAAAACCCTCCTTCACCTTTGGCCTGGACTTCGTCGGCGTCTGCCTTTTACAGTACGATGTTACAGGCACGGGAGGCCACAGCGAGGCAGCGCCAGACGGCCAGGAAAAGGAATCTGAGCGGTGCTGGGCTTCAGGCAGCTCCTGTTGGGTGCATCTGAACTAATGCCTCACACTGAAGTCATGCCAACACCACAATGTAGAAAACACACGTTATATATTCAGATGGATCATCGAGTAAATAGATAAAACTGGAAATGCATTCATTTTTCTCGTGGATTGTTCAGTAGCCCTCTCTGGAAACTTTAGTCCTCTGACCAAGAAGGCATGTTTTTCTATTTTTTGAGTCGGTATCGAAGGAGGAGTTCAGTGTGTAGCTGCTGAACAGCAGGCCTAATAAACATGGCACGGACTCATTCAACTGGTTCAAAGGGGCAAATAAACTGGAAAGACAGTACTGTAAGATACGATTTGGCTTTGTTTCAACCCCAACCAGAGCATCGGCCCTGTGAGGAGTTTTAACACTTTTCTCATGTAAAAAACTGTGTGTTCTGGCAAAATATAGTTCAATGACTATAAATGTAGACACAAATACTGAAGTAAAATAGCATAGAAATACCTTCTCAGATTTGTCACAATATTTTTCCCGGAACGTATCACAAGTTGTCTTTGCACCCGTTAAGCAGATAATAATCAACCTAAAGAAAAGCCAACAGGGAGGTTTAAAAGGGGAACTCTGCAGGATTCACAGGGAATGGTGGAGGACTCCATGAAGGCTGTCTTTGCACTTTCAAAGTGCTCATTAACTCACGTTTGTAGCTTCCTGCTCTTTAACAAACGCCTATAATCTTTTTAAAAAAGTCTTTGGAATGTTTTTAACATGATTCACCAAATTAGAAAACGTTGTGCTCATCGCGTCTACATTCCTTTCATGTTTTCGTCTCTTTCTATTCTGTGCTGTGACATGAATGTGACGGTAAGGCGTGCTGTTACAGCCGGCCACCACTGGAGGGCAGTCTGCACCGTGAGAATATCGTCCGAAGCTGATTGAAGGTCAGTGTGCTTCCTTTTCGGCCAACATTTAGGATTTTTTAGAGAAAGACAGAATCTGTCCGTTCTGCTTTGTTTGTGTCCTTTTTCTAATTTACAGCTTTGTGATGCAGATTTCGGCGCCGTTTTCATTCTCGGGCTGCAGACTCAGTAAACATGATCATATATTTGAATGCTTTACATAAAGAATGGCAGTAAATGTTGGGATGTGCAAAGACCTGCCCCCTCTGAGACGCTCCTCCATCATTCCCATCAGGCTTTGCGCCAGTCCCATGTCACCAGGACGTACAATATGCCCTTCACAAGTATTCACAGGTTGAATCACCGATACAGTATAATGCATTAAACACATTTCATAATGAAACATTCATATGTTATCTACACACTCATACAGAGCCCTCGTCTGTCAGTGTGGAGGGTTTTATATGAGACGTCTGCATGTCGCAGAAGATACTGGAGGTTCATCATTTTCTGTGTTTTTCTCCAAAAATAAACCATGAGTGTCTGAACAGGTGATGAAACAGACGTCTCCTGCAGTAAATGAACTGATGACAGAGGAGGAGATGGAAAGAGAAGATGTGGAGGGAGGGCGGGAAGATGAGCTGAGCTGTGGTGGAGACGCCTTCAGAGGGACGATTCGTACTGCAGGAGTTCGTACAGAAGCGGACCGTCCCTGTACCTGATGCCCACCGCGTTAGGGCTAATGTACTGCAGCACGTTTATGGTCCTGCGCAGGCGCCGGTCCACAAAGTGTGCGTCCCAGGCGGGGTAGCGCTTTCTGGGCATGTCTATCTTGATGAGCGGACCCTCAGGGCGGATGGGCCTCCCGGCCGCGTCCACCGGTTCCGTGGACCTCACCTGGAAAACCGGAAGGCAGGTGTCCGTGGCCGCCTCCTCCGACTCCACGTGTTCCCCCACCAGGCCCCGCGTGGGCGTGGCCTGGGAGCCGCGGGGCCCCGGTGTGGGGGCCATGGGCTCGGCCTCGGGAGGCAACGGAAGGCCCCACAGCAGCTCGGCACAGCAGGAGCTGGCCAGAACCCTCAGGCGGGGGCCCATGGGGTGAAGAACCCCGTAGTAGAGAACCATGCAGGCCACACCTGAGGCAAAGCACAGGAAGACGCCACAGAGGGCTAAAGAGGCATAGGCGTCGGTGGTGGCTGGGTCGCGGTATGCATACCAAAGGGTGCTGAGGATGGCGTTCTCCAGCAGGACTACCGTGTAATAGGCCACCATTCTGTACCGCGTCCGGCCCTCACGCACACTGAACCAGCAAAAGACGTACACCACGCCCACCACCATGTTGAACAGTACCTCCTCCCATTTGGACATGCAGAAGTCGGTGCCGCCATGGATGACCCAGAAGGCCATGGCACACCAGTGGAGCACCACAAAAATGCCAAAGTAGATGTGGAAAACAGAGGCAAACAGGGCAAAGGAGAGCACCCGCGAAGAGATGGTGAAAAGGCGCCAGAACAGATGCACCAGGGCACCTCGGTAACTCATGCTCTTCTTGTCGTCACGTGAGTCACGCAGGAGTTTGTGGTAAGATGCTAGCACCCAGGCCAGGGACAGGAGGGAGGACATGGCAGAAACACCTGGGAATACAGACACAAACAGTCAGGGCAGGGAATCAGAGTCTGTCCACACACAACAGCTTCCAGCACATCCCAAACATTACATGACATATCTGAGGCCATATTTATAATTATTGGCCCTAAACATGGAACAAAACGCAGCATTTCCAAACCAGGATGACGGTTTGTACCCAGAAAGTTCCTGTAAGTGTCTAAATACAGACGGATCCATGTTCCTTGATGTGTTAAAGTTGGACCAGACAAGTTTCCAGTTTTCAGTTGTTTAGACTAACTGTTGATGTGTTTGCAGGAGGTCCAGACAGGTTCTCAGCTGGACCGCCTTGGAGGGTTCTTCAGTCTTCATGGTGTAGTTCTGTGCAGGAGTACTGATCCACCAGCGACTGGACCTTCCAGATACACGAGTCGTTATGCTACAATCACTGAGACACATTCACTGACCTCACATGATGCGTTTACTGACTGTGGGACTTCTAGCACCTCCTGGCTGAGCTACACTGGAGTCACTACAGAGGAGGTGAACACTGATCAGTCACTGATTTTAAAATGGCAGATTTTTAACGAACTAAAACTACTTTGTAGAAATCTCTCTTCACTTTGACATCAGAGTCTGTTTTTGTAAATTCTTGTCAAAAGTCCAAACTAAACTGAGCATGATTGATTTTCCAGAGCAACAGAAGAGGAAGCTTCCGGTCCTGTCGGGTCTTTGTGGGGCTGCAGCGCCGCCTTCGTTTAAACATTTTGCTCCTTTTTACATTCTCAAGGACCAGAAATTAAAAATGTGTCCTCTGCTGGATCCTTTCAATCGCTTGTTGGAAACTATTCTGTCTGCGTCCGTACAGAATCTCACAGCTGCTTGAGTTTTATTTGTGTGGATCTAGAACCCTTTAAAGGTTCTCCTGAGTGTCTGAGTTCTGACAACGTGTGAAACTCTCTTCATTCAGCTACAATATTTTGCAGAACTTAGCTTTGACCCCAACAGACACATGAAGACAGTGATAATGACTGTGCAGCAGCATGTTTCCTGGAACATGAGTGGAGCCAGATACTGATGGAGGTCTGACACTTGGAGAGAAGTTTGATCTTTAAGCCCAAAGCCACACAACGGTGGTTGAAAGCTGCTTATTTACAGCAAACAGCACATTTTCCTTTAGCCATCTATCACTTTTCTGAAAGTCACATTATTACCCAGATCTTCCAGAACCACCGTGTGCATTCAGCTGAGCTTCTCTAAGACGTGTAACCGTGGAGGCAGCTCGGTCTGAATGCATGAAACATGACGCAGGGTTTCTACAGACATGACGCCGTCGCTCTTCTGACTGAATCTCCTCCTCTGGGAGCTGCACCGTGGACAAGGCTTCGGCAACAACAGCGATGGACGTTGGAACCGGACACAGCTGCTGCAGTAAATAAAGTGGACCAGGAGGCGCCTGGCGTGAAACATGATGAACGGAGATGAAGCTCTTACACTGCAGCCACTCAGCCTTGTTGCTCTGGATCATGATGCAGAGCTGCAGCACCAGCTGAGGGGCGCTTTCCAGGAAGGTCTCCAGCAGTCGCAGCATATTCACGTCGGCGTACTCATACATCATGGCCCAGTAGAACCGCCGCTGGTTCTCCTTCTGCCGGTGGCTCTGAATGCCGAGATACATGGTCCGAATGTACCTGCAGAGAGAAAGAACATGTCAGCGTGTTCAGCCACGAGGTCCGTGTGAAGCAACACTCGAAGGAGTTCTGAGCTCGATGTGGCCTGGACGGAACCGGACTCATCGCTGGAAGACTGAACAACTGGGAGCTTCACATAAATCACAGCATTAGTCTGCTGAGAAATAACTTCATTACATTACGAGCAGGTTTTCTTTAGAATTCACCAAAACTACACAGAAAGACTTCAGAATCAGAACCACTGGGACCTGAGGGGAAGCTCAGAAACTGTCAGAGCAGAAGGAATTGTCAGATTTCCAACAGTCACAAAGTGGTTTCACAACATGGTGACATTTCAAACAAACATCTTTCTTCATATTTCATCATTCTTATTAAAAAGTCCCTCCAAAATAAACACTTGTTGACCAGATTGTTTACAAAAACCTTTTCCATGACTGGCTGACCAACGGTGGACAATTCAGTTTAAAATTCAAATATCACTGAACATTAAAGCAACAACTTGTGATCCAGCCGTCGTGTGAGCTGTGATTAGATCTCTACATGCTTGTATATGGGCGCAGCGCTGCAGCTGCTCTGATGACAGCAGCTAATTGAATCTCACACAATCAAAGCTGCTGCACTTTAAAGAGCAGAACAAGGCTCCTGGTGTGAAAGTGTGATATGTTCAGGGCCGAGCTGCAGCTAATTAAGATCCTTATCTTCTCTGGCTTCAAATCTGTTTGGAAAAGTAATTCAGCCTCCAATGAAGGAGAAGACATTTAAACAGCCACGAGGAAAACTGAGCTTTGGACAGAAACAGAAAATATCACTTCATCAAGCAAAGACAATCCCAACAGAAGCGAGCAGCGACAGCAGAGCTGCTGCTTTTATTCTCCTCCTCAGCAGCAGCAGCAGCAGCAGCAGCGCTGCATGTGGGCTGCGAGCTGCAGGCCGGCTCTGGAGCTGCAGGCCGGCTCTGGAGCTGCAGGCCGGCTCTGGAGCTGTGGATGTGCAGGCAGTCAGCCGAGGATGACAGGAATAGACGAGACAGTCAGTCTCCCCAAAACAAAGCGAGAGGCCGAGCAGCTAAAGAAGACGAGGAGCTCTGGGTTCCAGATTCATCGTCATGAGGCTGAAGAGAAGCTCTGATTGTTTCTTCTCATTGTTTTCACTGAAACTTGAATGTAATACACACAATGTGGTCCAGACTAATTACTGGTGCTCGTTAAAGGCCTCTAAGTTTGTTTCCTGAAAGACAAAACAATCATCCTGCAGCATGATTTCATTTTTACTCCCCCCAAGAAATGAATTCAAAGTGGATATTTCTGCAGAATCCCTGTTCACGGTGTGATGATTGTGGAACAGACGTGGCATCGAAGCAGAGGGAACGCAAACTGGATTCGTTGTGTTTTTCTGCTTCACGTTCGTGTTCCTGACGACGCTCAGTCGGCCCGTTGGCGAACCTGAAGATCCCCAAAAGCCCAGAAATAACAGAATTCAAGAGGTGGTTCCTGGATCCTAATTAACTGTGTGTCTGTGTGAACAGAGGTTGGCAGGACCAGAACCTGTGTTCTGAGCAGCAGCTTCTATCTGGAGCTAAAGTGTGGATCCGCTGACATTTCCGTCCGTCTGGTAAATGTCAGCTGCAGCGAGTCGACCTGCTGCAGAGACCGGACCGGGCCTTCGTGTGCCGCAGTCGGACGCGACTCACTGCTCTGCAGAACAGACACAAAGATTCATGATGCTGGAAAACGGATGAGAGGCTGAATTCCACCAGAAGGCGTCGGCAGCCATGTTGGAACTTCTGCAGCACCTGAGGATCAAAGCTTTGGTCACTTTGTCCCAAAAGAAGATCTACAAATGCAGATTTTCTTCACGTGGCAGAGCTTCAGTCAGGCAGCAACACCGCTGATGGATGTTTCCTGGTTCAGCTGCTATGAGGCGGCTGATTGGCTGGTCAGTGGGCGGAGCCTCAGATTTCAGTTCATCTCTGATAGTGGAGGCTTGAGCTAAATGCTAATAGCTGCATGCTAACATGTTAGCATGCTAACTTGTGTTGAAGCAGTTTGTACTTTAACATCCACATTTTACATTTCATATGGTGCCAAATCTAAACCTGTTGGAAACCACAAACCTGAAGCACGTCGTGATGAAACAACAAGATCCTGTCAGTTTGCTGAAAACAACAACAACACATTTCTTTTTCTCCAAATGTTCATGAACACTGAAAATCAAATGGAACAAAGAAGATGCAGCTTTGTTCATGGAAACCAAAAACAAGACTCTCGTAATATTGAAAACGAAGTGGAGCAAAGTTTTGTTATTTTTCATGCTTGGTGAAGTGAAGATGACAAATGGAGCAAACATCAAACCAACAGCTAGAACCTGTGAACTCCACTTTCTGTTTCCTACCAATGAGCCACGTCTACATTTAGTCAGAATATCCAAAACCTGGAACCTTGTCGGTCAAAATGAGTTGCAAACGAGTAAAAGGAGACACAAGCGTAACGACTGAAGCGGCTGCATCACCTCTGCTCTCTGAAAACTCTCATGTTCATGGATGGAACCGGGTCTGGACTCTGATATCTGCTTCCTCTGACACAGAAACGCAACACGTCAGCCTTCAGCTGTAATGTTTACAGACATTCAGTAAATCACAGCGCTGCTGTCTCACATTCTCACAGCTTCAGCACAAAACCTGAACACTTGAACAGTTTGTTAAAGACCTGACAGACCAAATACCAGCTCACTTCATCAACACACCATCCAGCCACTGTCACACAAACACACAAACACACTGTAACACACAAACACACTGTAACACACTGTAACACACTGTAACACACTGTAACACACTGTAACACACAAACACACAAACACACTGTAACACACTGTAACACACTGTAACACTCAGCCCGACGCTAACTGGACCACAGCTTCACTGTTCACATGAACCTCTGACTGATGAGGTTCTGACAGCATCGTGTTGCATCAGCTTTGGAGGAATTTCATAGATCAGAACAGAAACGCTGCATGCTCAGCTAAGCTAAGCTAAGCTAAGCTAAGCTAATCTAAGCCAAGCTAGCGTCTCCCAGCTGTTCTGTTCAGGCCAGGTCAGTCGGACTGATCTGTGGGAAACACCTTCTTCAGGTTTGATGCTTCAGCTGCAGACAGCTCCTCTGCTCTCTGAGCTTCACCTGCAGCAGGTCGTTGGTTGCCGTCAGCAACCGTCTTCAGCTGTGGTCATGTGACACCAGGCGGCCAATACGATGTGAGTACGGCGCACAGAAGATGAAGAAATGCAACAATGCAGGAGGAGAATCCTTCAGATGGATGACAGCCAGAGATTAAACTGATCTCAGATCACTCAGGGAGATTCACTATCAGCTGCAGAGCAGGAAGCCGTCGTCACTCTCAGAGGGTTATTGATCAGGCAGCTGATAGTGATCAGCTGATCATTATCATCCATCAGCAGCTCTGAGGCTGCAGCAGTGATCAGAAGAGGTTCAACTAAATGATCGACTTCATTCAGCAGCTGAAATAAAATGAACTCCAGCAGCTCAGTGCGTCTCATAGGACCTGCGTCACCGATAATTAGCAGCTGATCACTTTTCTTCTCCTGAAAATAACTTTCAACCAACTTTGTTTCAGCTCAAAAACATGCAAAGTAAGATAAATGATTTCAGGTGTTTAACTGTGAAGCTTCTGCTCCGTCTGCACGCTCATCAGCTGAGGCGCTGTGGAGAGGCTTTTAGTTTGAAAGAGCCACATTATGTCTTATGTGCACCTTTATTCTGACAGTTGAGTTTGTTTTCAGTCAGTCTTTGGTGAATTTCAGCCAAACATCCCAGTTTATGGAACAGAACTCTGGCTGTTTTCAGGTTTGGGTTTAAATGCAGACCTTGAAGATTCTGGTCATGTTTGCGTGAACATAGAAACGGGTTTGAGTCCAGCAGCAGATTCAGTGATGGGAGTCTTTTGAGGACGTTCGGTTCTGTTCAGCTGAACTCTCACTCACAAACTGCAGCAGTTTGTTCGTCTGTTGCCTTAAAAAGGTTGTTTTTAGAGAAAAACCCCGACAGCTGAATCCTGTTTCTGCCCCCGCCGGAGGAAAGGCCAGATTATGTTGGATTAAGAAGAAAAGCTTGACCCACTTGCTTTTCAAAGAGCAGCAGAGCAGAAAGCAGCATGTGGAGCAGCTTCCATTCAGCGCCGGCGCTCCTGAAGCTGCTGTTTGTGGCTCTTAAGACTATAATTAGCTGCTCTGCTGTTTAAACGCTGCCGGACGGACGGACGGTTCTGCAGCCCAGAAACACGACGGCAGCGTTTCTCTGCAGGTTCGTCTGCATTCTGCATCTTTCAGGCCTGAAGACAACAGGAGTGAGGAGACAAAGGAGAACCAGAACCAGAGCAGGAGCTGAACTCATCACGGAGCTCGCAGTGCAATTTTCTGGCTGTGTGCCTCCTCCTGCTCCCATCATGCACCTCTCCGGGTCTCTTTATATTCTGCTCACACTCCCGTCTCTGCTCTCCATCTATCAGGCGGTACCATTCCTCGCCCCCCCGGCTCCTGAATGGGCCGAGCCACTCCAGTCATCAGCCGTTAAAAACAGCTGCAGACGAAGCTTTTCCCGGCTCTGGTAGACTTCTGCTCTTTTGCTGCAGATGTGTGATGTCTGCAGGTGAATGATGGGAAGCGCAGCGTCGGAGCGTTTCCCCCGAGGCGCAGCGTTTAGGAAGCGTTTGATTTCGCTGCAGTGAAGGTTTGAGTCTCAGCGGAGGCGGCGGCGGCGGTTCTGCAGCCTTGATGATGATGATGATAGATGTTCCCTCAGACATGCAAATACTGACGAGTCGCAGCAGCACATGTGTGTTTAACTACGATCAAGTCCTCCACTGATACATTAATCCTCCTGTTTAGAGACGAGGCGGCGCGGCGCCCAGCAGCACTCTGTCCTATTTTAGAGCGACTGCAGAGGAACATTCGTCACACAGAACACTCATTTGAAGGATGGAACCGTTCTCTGGGAGAACTGAGCGAGCAGCTCATTATTGACATGCAGAATATGTCGCCTCATCCATCAGCACAGACTCACAGCTACACACTGACGCTTCATTTACAAGCAGCCCTGAACACATCACATGAGCGTCCACGTGAACCTGGACAGTCAAAGGAAGCAGCAAACTGAAGCTGTCTGCATGAATCATCACGTTTGGTGTCAGAAATATGGATCCGTGTTTGGTCCTGAGATCTTCAGTTTACTGTCACTGACCAGGAAACATTCACAGCGAAGAGGCTGAGATCAGAAATCCATCTGATGTAAGATCTGCTGGCAGCGACCAAATCAGAGCTAAAAACCAGGATTCCTTCAGAAACGTTCTGCTGGAGTTAAACTGGATCTTCTCTGAATGGAGTCTGGTTTGAAGGAGGTTTATTGAAAAGCTGCGACGACTGATGACTTCCACTGGTGAATATGAAAACATGATGTCATGGGACGGCCACTGTGTCGTGTTAAACCTGCAACACACGAGATGAACAAGCGTCTGATGGTGTGGGAGTCACAACACTCTGCTCACGATGTCAGACTGGATTCCTCTGTGGATTATTTTCTGTATCAATCAACTGTTTGGTCTAATGTCAGAAAGTGTGGATCAGAGTTTCCTTCAATATTTTGTTGAGTCCAAAGATGCTCAGTTTACTGTCAAGGGGGAAAGAAACCAGAAAATATTCACACTGAAGAAGCTGAAACCACTGAATTTAGACTGTTGTTGTTAAAGAACGACTGAAACTGATGAAGTGAACTTGGAACATTGACTGAACAGCTGCAGAGACAACGAGGTGGAATTCATCTTCATGTTGGATCAACTGCTGAAAGTCACAGTGATGGCTTTGATGTCTTCTGGTCACGTGATCGGACTCTCAGGAAATTACCCAATCAGACAGCAAACAGGAAACTGTCCAGATTCAAACTCAAACCACAACAGCAGCCAGGTTCTAAAGCTGATCTACAGTATTAGACAGTTAGAGGCTCCACCTGCTGGAACAACCAGGTACTACATCTGAGCTGTGCTACATTTACTGACGTCATGGAGAGAATACAGGTTTACTCCATCTGGTGGAGCCTCAGAACATCTATCCTCTAACTCTACATCTACCCTCTGACTCTACATCTACCCTCTGACTCTACATCTACATCTACCCTCTAACTCTACATCTACCCTCTGACTCTACATCTACCCTCTAGCTCTACATCTACCCTCTAACTCTACATCTACCCTCAAACCCTACATCTACCCTCTAACTCTACATCTAGACAGGGTTCTACCAGAGCTTCACTCCAAGGTTCCACATTAAGGAACAGACTAGAGCCAGACCTGGTTCTATCTTAATGCACTGCAGAGATATTTACTTATCCAGCAGATCAACTGGACTGATGTTAAGAACTTTAATGTAAAAAGTCTTAAACAATATCCCTCAAAATCTGTCTCCACCATGATCACAGACCGTGGACACTGACACAAACATGCATGATATCAGCAGCTCTGCAGATGTTCTCACAGCCTCAGCACAGATTAACGCCTGTAACTGAAACACTCGTGAGCTGCAGCAGCTTCACAGAGTCGCTGTTAAACTCGAGGGATCCTCTGACACGAAGCAGCTGCTGTTCTGTCTGACAGACCTGCTGAGCTCTACTTGTTGTGACAGATCAGACTATGAGGCTGCAGCAGGAAGCTCCACGGCAGCTAATCCTGAGAGATTCAGCCTCTCGGGTGCTTTAAGGTCACACAGCTGATGTGCAGCTGCTGACTCTGAAATTAAAACCCAGAATCTCTGTTCTGTCCTGCAGCGCCTCAGACTCGGCTTCAAATGCAGCGAGTCCAGCATCCAACCAGACGGAGGCTGATGGGGGATGGATTGATCTGAGTCTGTGCAGACCCCCCCCAGGGGCCTTCTGTCGGAGCAGCTGATTGGCTGCTGCAGCAGATCGTCATCAATAACAGAACATCTGCTGCGGAGACAAAGAGCTGCGATAGAAGCTTTACAGACACCGAGCAGACGAAACACATTTTAAATGCTCTGTCATGAAAACAATCTGGCAGCAAGAGTGTCAGGAAAAATATGTTTGAAAATGTTGAAAATTACAGCAAATACCAGTAAAATAATGCTGCTTTAAATACAGAGCAGAGTCTGCTTCAGTCAAATATTGTAAAATAACAAATTATTATTATTTTTGATGTGGACATTGTTTACGGTTTTTTACAGTCAACATGTAAATCAGTATTTTTTTTAATTTTACTGGATATTGTGTGTATTTTAACGAAACAGAAAATCTCCTTTCTCCTTCAAACAGCAGCGACCCTCTGTGCATTTAATTATGTTTAAAACAATGTCTTTTTATTGTAAAATCTAGGGGTGTAACGGTATACAAAAACCACGGTTCAGTACGTACCTCGGTACAGAAGTCACGGTTCAATTCGGTTCTCAGTTAAGGGGAAATTTAAAAAATAAAAATAAACCTGCTCATAATGAATACAAAACATTTGTTTATTGTATTAAACCAAAACGCTGTTAGTAAATCTAATTAAATGTACAATATACACACTGTAACAGGAACACTGCTGAACAGTTCTCAGTATCAAATAAACAAAATAAAATAAATGAAAGAGCAGCATGAACAGTTCCAGCTTGTTGGTCTGCTGTAAACACGACTGAATCACGTTTCAAACAGGAAGACAAACAACCAAGCTCCGCCATCAACAGAAAAAACACAGAAATATTTGTCAAATAAATGAAAGAAGTAATATGCAGCCAAATGTGTGTGTTGCTCATAAATGGGCTGAGTTTGTGAACCACGGCTGACTAGAAGAGCGCTGTGACGGTGTAGACCTCCACCCAGCAGCTCATCTCCACCGTACTGTGATTTCCAGCAAGTCCTGATTCATTATCTACACTGTTAGCTTCATGGAGAATCAGAACATAGCTTTAGCATTTGATTTAACACTGACATCATTAATAACAAGCTGACGGACTGATGAACGGTTGTTCTGTCCTCAAATATTTTCTACACGTATTTCTGCAGTTACTTACTGGCTTTAAGCTGCTAGCTAATGCTATGCTAGGTTAGCATAGCTACAACGAGGTTATTGCTAACATAAACAGACAGGGAGTAGCTTAAGCTAGGTTAGCACAACTTTAGCAACGTAAATGAAAAGCATGACCGACCAACGCAGCACGCGTCAGTCGTCCTGACTCATGGCAGAGAGAGTTAAAGTGGACCAGGAGACCTGCTGAGTCA